TTTGGTTAAGAGCTTCTTGAAGCACCATTTCTTATAGCTATTCATTTTTTAAAGTAGAAACGAATTTCTCCAGTCAAAATAAGTCTCGCAAAACTTGCGTGAGATCTGAGTTTGCCCTTCAGCAGCATGTAGTAAGCAGTTAGGATCAAAAACTCCGCTTTTATTTTGGATTTATAGTAGTTGAAGAACGTAATAGATAATGTCATCAGTGACTTAAGCTCGTAACATAGCTTTAGATATGAACACATCGCTCCAAACATGTTCTAAGTAAAAATAGACCACTGAGCCTGTGACACACTGAACGTGATCGGATTATGCTCCAAACACATATCAACGAAAAGGGACCATTTGGTCACTTAATATTCTAACATGACCGAAATCTTCTAAATAAACCACTAAAAAACCAATCACAAAATTCTTTGGTGCGGAAATGACGACTCGAGTGCTCAAAACTTTCACGACCCGCGACTTCTATAGAGGTCATCTGAACCGAGGGACACAGTGGTCCGCATAACTTCTGGAATGGTCATTTTTTCCGATAGCTTATTTTTCTACATTGGAGTTTTATTTGAAACTTTTTATACTCAGTTGGTAGTTTGGTAATAGAGATATCGCGTTGGCGTTTATCGGCAGAAATTATAATCTAAAAACATACAAAAACCGTGTTTCAAACGAGTTCACTGACCAGAAATCTGAGTTCCGATCGATTATCACTTTAGTCCATAAGGGACGAAATGTGCATTTCATGGAATGCACGTCTGTTTCCCTAGCTTTTTCACCAGATAGAAAGTACCCACTGAAGTTTTGGTAGTCGATAACTTGAACAGCGCCTATTTCAACGATATACGTTTGCTTGGTTGGGGCCTATAGATAAATTTCCTCTATACTTTTAGCAGTCTTTCGAGAGATCTGCTTTGGATGATTCTGCAACAATGTCCACTTTACAAAAGGTCTTTTTACAGCGTGTGAGAGCGTAAAGGAAGAATACGCTCCAACCTTAGAGTCTCATTGCAATGATGCATGTATGTATGTATATTATTTATGAGCTTTTATGCACATATATATATATATATGTATATGTACATATATGTATGTACATTTTTATGAGCTTCTATATACGTACGTATTATATATATGCATATATATACATATATATTTATGCATATTTATGTATATATGCATGTGTGTATACATGTATATATGTGCACATTCAAACTTTGTATGTATACGTATACACTGGCATATGTAGGCATACATTTGTATATATATATATATATATATATATATGCACCAAAAACATATGAGCATATAGAGAAGTGATACAGCAACACAGAAATCTAAGGGTTTTTCAAATCGGAGATAATAAACCCTAATCAAATAGCGAAATTTGAACGGCGCTCGAGAATCGCTATGCAAGATCGATCAATTGTCATCCGTAAAGGGTTTATTCTAATTGCTTCAGTGAATTACATTCATTATATGGGATGTGTGCGCATAAAAAACACTGAAATAGACAAGCATAAGTTGAAAAGGTCTGTTGGAATGTTTTGAGCCTGTAGTTCAAAAATGCTTCCAAATCTTGAAAGCAATGTTTTGTACCATGATGTACAGTAGCGGAGCTAAATGACATCACAAGATACCCATAGAGCAATAAGGGAAACTTTTTCCCGCAGTTCTGTCCTGTTCACATTTCATCAATTTTTTTCAGTTACAGAAGAAATATTGCATATCGTCAGAAAACTACGTGGTCGTCAATTTTCGAAACTATTGGGGTCACATGAGCAAGCCACGACAATCAAGTATAATTGTGGATGCGTTAAGGAGATTAGCAAGGTGTACTCCTGCCTGTCGATGTCTGACTAGTAGACCAAAAGCGGACATATGTGTGGTCTGCGAAGGGTGGGACCCCATTGAGTGGTTTATTTATGCCTACTGCACAACTGACATATTCTTCACTTACGTAAGGCTTTTCATGTATGTGCATTTTGCTTGATTACAGTTCGTCTGTACCTCATAGCAACTCCATTTAAAGCCTGTAATATGATGTCTGGGAAGGGCACGAATCAGGTAACCGCGCATACTATGAAGAAACCTAGGGCCAGCTAGCTAAGGGTTTTTCTAGACCCCACGCCAAAGCTCGCCAAGATACACATGGATATAGAGATGTTGACACTAGATTACATTCTCGAAGTTGTCTGATGTCTACATGGAACGACGCGTAGCTTTTTGCCCTACTCGCTATGTCTCCTGTTAAGGTCACAGAGGCCATATTGTCCTGCAAATAAGAAGTGCGCTCGATTTTCGTAATATAGTTGATTTTCCTCACCGTTTTTAGACGAATTCTGCGCTTCTCCTAGCCTAAATACGCCTAGTATTCTTCTATACACAATCTTATGTTTTTGGTGTACATATACACCTACAGAGTGTGAAAAAAATCCGTCCATTAGATAATCATTTACTATCCGAATTTAACTGTCCCGGATGGCGTGCATCCAAAAAATACTCTCTACTTCTGGAGGCCTTTCTCGCCAAAAGAAGCCAAAAATACTTCTGGAGGCCTTTCTCGCTGGAGACCTTCCATACTAGACTTCTAATAACTATTCAAAAACCTAGATCTCGACGATTACAGTAGTGTTTGTTTCTAAAAAGCCTTTTTATTGCGTTATAGCAGGGAAAATACTATTTTGTATCACACTCGGTTTGCTCTGCTTGCTTGGTTGGGGTTTGTGGACGGCTTTTCGCTGAATTTTGGTAATCATTCGATAGCATGAATCTTGATAACTCTCAGGCCTAAAAATGGCTTCAAAAAAGTTTATCCTATAGAACACTGTGATGGCGAAGATAAGACGATTCGTGCTCGGAATTTTCTTTATGCATAAGGGTTATACATGATCAAAAAGAGTTTTCTTTATTTAACCGCCTTTAGCGGTGGCATGATGTCAACAACATACTCAATGATGTTGAGTGATGTGCAAAACTTTGACTAGTATTCAACAAATACTATAGTTAACACCTCGGAACTGCTGAACAGAAATACTATTGATCTATTCCTACTTTGTCGAGGTTAACTGATAGTCAGTCTTCGGATCTGCTTTATTTATAGTTACATGAGAGAGGTCACCGATCTAGTGTGACACACTTTGAAAAATCAACAAAAATCAAAAGGAAAAAAACTTTTGCAAAGTGTGCCATACAAAACTGGTGACCTCTTTCATATAACTATAAATAAGGCTCCGACGAAGACGTTGCCGCCATCAAATTTCGAGGAAAAAGAAGTATCAGCTTTGTGCAAGTCTCACTTGAAGAAAAGGACAGCAGAAGAGTTATGTACGCACTAAAAGCCTATGATAACGTGGAGGAATATAGAGTATCGGGGCAACATGGAAACCTGAAGATTTTTTCTTGAAACAGATAAAAATACCTTAACTGATTAGCAAAAATCGCGCGCTGTTTGCGAATCGCGCTGCGATCGATTAGATTCCGTCCCGAAAGGGTTAATAAAGTTGTTCAAATTCCGCTAGAAATATTACATTATTTATCCATTAGTTTTGATATCCCCTAATTCCATCCATTACCCAAAAGTTACTCCAACGGTTGAAAAGTAGTGAATAACGATTTAAGTGTCGAAAATTCGCGTGCCACTTTGTAAAGGCAGGGGACACTTCTGTGCGTTTCCATTAGTCACACTATTTTCAACAACTGTAATCTCTCTCGTGGTATTAATTTGTAGATCAAAGTGAAAGACTATTGAGGGGGCACCCCACTCTGAATGAGTTGCGGCCCTCTATACATGTAGTGGATAAACTACCAATTCATTACAAGAAGTATGGGAGAAGAAAACTGCAATGCCTGAACAAACCGCCAGAGAGAAAATGACCTCTGTAGGTGTCATACCGGCCGCTGTGTCCGCCTTATGAATGACATGCACAGAGGTCATGTAATCGCAAATTCGTTAGGGAAAGTAAAGAAAAAGAATTGCGATTGGTAAAATCTCTCATTAGTAAGATGGTTGTACGCCACTATCACGAATTTTGATATTCCTTAAAACCACAAAAAAGAACAAAATCATACTTGAGCATTCAGATAGCGACTCATTACGTCCATGATTGTCGAAAAAGCCAGCCGGGTGATGAGAAGACGCTAATCCCTTTTTGTTTTCAGATTGAAACCACTGTGAAGGTGGTATGGACTACCTGTAATGCACAAAACTTACCAATCAATAATCGATTTCCTTATGATTTAGCTAATATCACGAAGTTTATATGAATATTCACTCGGCTAACATTTCGACGAGAAATCGATAATTGATCGTCTGGACAATTGGCCCAAATCATCGGCTCTGAGGAAGACAAAGAGGTCGGAACACAAGCTGGAAGAAACTCTCACATCAACTTCGTGGTATTGGCTAAATCATAAAGAAATCGATTACTGATTGGTAACGCCAATAGCAAGGGAAAGTCGGTCGGTCTTCAAAGGCTTGATAAGCGTTTTAACCCGTTAATGTTAGCCTAACCCCCTACGATTGATGAAAACAAGCAAGACACCACCTGTGGTTTGAAGCGACGGCCACCAGACACGTGAGACTATGAGAAATGGCCGCGACCTAGTAGGTGGCCACGTGTAGAACTATCGTATGTCAAGATCGCTTCGGGACCTCCAATCGACTTACAGCGCCAGACGTGTTTGGTGAGAATTTTCACGACAAAACGGATTATTGAGGAATGCTAGGTGGTATGCAGAATCTTCGGCTTTGTATCACAGAAAGAGTGATTGCAGAGCGAGGACACTGATAGTCCCGTGGTTGGCACGCCCATCGGAAGGGGTGAAACGCGGGTTCGATTTCTGCCTAGTGTTAAAATTCTCCAACATCAATAGATGTAGCGAATGGACAGAATTTCTTTTGACAATCAAATGAGATTCTCACTCTTTAACCGCTTTTTGGCGGGCGGTGGTATGATGTTATTGATATACACAGTGATGTAGAGTGATGTGCAAAGCTTTGCGTCAGGCGGAACTCGAACCCACAACCTCCCTCTATCCGGGAGTGCATGCTCTAACCCGTTGCACTACTGACGTCCATTTTGCACAACACTCTTTCTACGCTACAGGTCATCTATCTGTCACAGCCGGCAGTCGTCAACGGCCTGGCCCGCGTAGTCGGCATCGACACTGAACCCAGCCACGCTGACAGATACTGGGTATCGATAATCATGTGAATTTCCTTTTATTTGACCACTCTTTAGCGGTGATATGATGTTACAGATATACGCAATGATGTTGTGTAATGTGCAAAACTTTGACACAAAGCGAGACTCAAACCCGCATTTCACCCTTTTCTGGGACGCGTGCTTAATCAGTAACACCATCGACGCCTGTTTTGCCACCACTCTTTTTTACACTACAACGCATCAATTTGTCAGCAACCAACAGTCAACGGTTTGGACAGGTAGTGGATAACGACAATGAATCCAAAAAAGGTGAAACGCAGGTTCGAGCCCCGTCTGACGTCAAGGTTTTGCACATCACTCAGCATCATTGGGTATATTTGTGATCGAATAGTCTGATGCATTGTACGTCCAGGCTGTGAGGATGGCGAAATCACGGAACGTTAGCCAACAAATTCTATTGTTCTATCTGCTATCACCTCGACGTCAATTACCCCTCCTGTCGGTTAACCTTTTAGCGACCACGTGGAAATTTGGGCGCGGCACGCGACGTGGTCGCGCGGCGAGCGCGGCCAATACAATCACAATGCGGCGGTCTTCTAATTAAATTTGCTTTTATCGTCGTTAAGAGGATTTTAGTCTACAGCAAGTCATAAAACATGATAGAGGAGCTTAATAAGGGCTACTCTAGTGAGAACATTGTCGATTATCCTTCCTAGAACCGCGCGTTCCAAAGGAAAAGCCAGAGACACACGAAAATAATATGTTTCATACTGTTACTAAATATTTTTGTTCTCTCTAATCCTATATATTCATTGATCAATTATATTATCTTTTATTTTTCATGTTGACAACTTCTTGTTCTTATTCATTGCCTCATATGGAAAATAATCAAAAAATCGAGCACTTTATCACTTTGATCTTCTGGAATTAAAAAATTGCGATGAAAATTTTCCAGTTTTGAGAGCGTTTCATTCAACGAAGTAAGTACCTCAAATTCATGAAACTTATTAAAAATGAGAAAATGACCACTTTTACACACTGCATGCAATGCCACATCATCATTGATTCTTGATAACTTCTCGATTATTAGTGAACTTCTAGAGTTGGAACCTGTTTGAAATACAAAAAATTTTTGTTCTATCGATTCTTGGGTACCAACTTTTTTATCCGCGTTTATTCTGTGCTGCGAGCGCAATTTATCACGGTGATTTTGACACTGGATATTTGTACCGTTTACGCCCTCTACATATTCCTTTCACTTAATGCCCTCAAGAAGATTTCATGCGCCCGATCAAATCCCCAGCTCCTCTAATAACTTCATTGTGATCACATTCAGGTGGTTAGATGTCCAAGAGTAAAACGGAAACCTCCGTATTCCGATGGTTTCCGATGGGTATCGTTTACACCAGTGAGAGTATTCCCTCCACCACATGATTGATTCGGATCTTCCGCCTATATGTTCAAAAAAAAAACTTGAAAATTTTACTTAATGCTTAGCTAGTCATAGAATTATTCACACATTGGTCTTGTTGATTTCTACGAATATAGATCCCGAATGCATAGAGAAGTTGGAAACTTTTGCCTGTACAGTACAATTCTGGGCCTGAATTTAGTTGTGTCTAATTGAACAGCAGACAGATATCTATGGCAATCGGAGGATTGATGAGATCGAAAAAGGCAGTCATACTCTTACAAGGTATCAGATTGAAATGGGGAGTAAGAGTTGGAAGTACTCGTGTTATGGATCAATTTAGTGTTCTAGCAGCCGAGATCCATCGAGCGAGAACAGATGATGGACCAGCGTCATTGTACACTATGCCATCACCACATACGTCTCCCTCTTTGCTACAATGCAGGGCTTAATGTGGGGCGGGGGTTACTGACGAGGAGCCCAAAACCTCCGAAACACCGGTGTATAACCCTTTCGTACCAACCTCGCTTAGCTTTTAGACATTCTTTTTCAAAGGTAACTCATTTTTGTGATTTTCCTGTTGAACCCGGACGTGTTGGCGCACTTCCTACTAAAAAGGCCTAGCAAAATTTTCTTCGTAATATGTCGCTCTCCAGTGACAACTAAGTTTCCACATCATCGAAATTTCGCTATATAACTGTCAAAAGAACCTTTGGCGAAGTTCCAGCAATGAGATTACTATTTCAAAGGTGAGGCTATTTTTCTGCGATGCTCTTACTCTTCAAAAAAGCCTTTCTGTTAACCAAGCCTGGTACAAAAAGCTTCATTTTTCAAGCTATTGATTGATTACTAATAGTCTAACGAGAATTTCTTTTGTTTTGAAAAATGCGAGGAAACATGAGCACATTGTACAGAATGTGACTGCACTTCGCACAGTTCGCACAAAAAAATGAAAATTTTTTAGACAACTAGGTGCCCCATCCTTTAAAAATAAGTTTATAGAAATCTACTCAGTGATTTTCAATACCTTAGGCGACAAAGTTTCTGTGAAATGAAAATTTTACTATAAAAACCGGAAATCCCCTGTGAAGTTAGAAAAATGAATCCCGATTGCAAAGCTTTATCTTTCGTTTAGTAAACTGAACGTATTATAAAAACCTTTTCGCAAAGCAAACTCAGCATGAAAATTTGAATTTCTCAAGCTATCGAATGACTACAGAAACGTAAATGAAAAGGAGAGAACGAATGTTAGATAACACGTGGAGATATATTACTTTCACGACAATGTGGTTCTCTCGTTGGAACATAGAATATTTCTTGATACATGGGATTATTTTCACTATAAATTTTTTACAAAAGTCTCTTCTGTAACATTTCTTTGAGATAAAAGTTTTTCAGGATAGAAATGCACGATATATTCCCAAAAATTCGCTGTAAGTTTGGAACAACTTACTGCGAAAAGCAAAACGTAATCCTTTTTTAGTTATCTTTTCGTACTCTCACAAAGCAAGCTTATTGCTAGAATATGCAGTACTTAAGTTAGAGAATGATTACTATTAACTCAGTAAAAAAAACTATTTTAGAGAAATAGAAGGAAACACAAGCACTTTTTACATAGATGAGACTGCATCCTTGTAATTCTTGATGAAAAGTGTAGACTTGCAAGAGAACGGAGTGCTCTTTCTCATATAAATACGTTTATAGAAGCCCATTCAATGATAGTAATTTTTCATAGTGAGAAAGTTTACTTAACCAGTATCTTCTTCTGTTAGTCGCTCCGAGGTGTTAATGATATTATTTATTGAATATCAGCGAAGCACATAACAATACAGTCAATAATGCAGCACGAATATTACAACAGTCGACTGACAGTCTTACATTATCATAGACTCCAAGTGGCAGGTCTTCAATGATTAATTGAACGACCTAAAACATCTAAGCGGCTCTGAAGATGGCGAACCTTGCCGAAACGTTAGCCACCACGACTGTTGTAATATTCGTGCTGCATTATTAACTGTATTGTTATGTGCTTCGCTGATATTCAATAAATAATATCATTAACACCTCGGAGCGGCTAAACAGAAGAAGATACCGATTTATTCAAACTATGCCGAGGTTAATAGATAGTCGGACCTGGAGTTTACTTAACATCAGAATTCTAGTATATAATGCCAATACAATCCGTTGTGGAAATGGAGCAACACACTTTGAAAGCAAAATATTGTCTGTTTTTGTTGGTAAAATGTTATACGAAAGTTTCGCAAAAATCTAAGCTAAGTGCGAGGATGAGCATTTTTCAAGCCATCAAATGAGCACAAAAATCTAGATTGAGAAGGAGGAAGGAAAGGTTTTTTAACAACTGTGAGTAAGTTTCCTCTCAAAGGGATGTGGTTCTTTTGTTCAAACATCGATTGATTTTCGGCAGATGGACGTTTTCTTTACCAATAAACCCTTTGTGGAGGTTTCCTCTGTGACAATCCATCATTTAATGCTAATAATGTGTTTTTACAGTCTCAAATAACAATTAAATTTCTATCTCCATAGAAGCGTGTTGATACGCACTCGCCGCCGGTTTGCCGCGGCCACCGCGAGCGTGGTGCACGCTATGTACTGAAAACGGTACGTAAGTTCGTCAAGTGGTTAATAAAAGTTGTCTTCAATATTTAAGCTTACACGCATCGATTTTGACACCAAAGTCTATAGTAAGTCGGTCTTTTGAATTCTTCATGCGTATCACTCATCATTCTTGGATATACAACTGTAACACCAAATTTCCCAAAATGTATAACAGCAACCGTACAAGGATCGATTCGATCTGTGTTTTTGTTCAGTTGAAGTCGAAGCGACATTTAGAGTTATGAATAGCATTAAGCAGAGCTGCTCTGAGAAGATGTATAAGGAGCACATGGAAATCTTGATTATTATACCATTTTATTTTGAAATAATGAAAAACTACGCTGAAGTTATGCTGTGCTCAGTGGCTTATCAAGACAGTTCCCATTTGCGTTCCAGTCATCTCTTCTTCCAAAATACTGCTCCTCGTTTTCACTTTTGCAGCTGTTGAAGTCGTTCAGTCAAATATCTACATGAAGTTACTTCGTTGTCAATCACTTTAACCATCTCACTATTCAGCAAATCCTATATGTTGCCATCTGATGATTAGCTCGATGTGAAAAAGTTGGCATTTTTTTGGTCGGCAGATGAAGGTGGACGACATCCTAGCGAAACTGCATGATATCTCATGAATTAGTGAATTGACCGAAGGAAATGTGAACAAATTGGGCTACGCTATGATATTTCGTAAGAGCACTCTCTCTGACGACTATCATAGACGTTTCCGAGTCCACTGCACATAAGAAGTTCTAAGTTCTGCTTGCATCCTAGCATTTTCGTTGTTACGAGTTAACAAGTTTCAAAATATAGATTGGAAGAATGTTCTAACCAGTATGTATCTGAAGATAGGGAAACCAATGGACATATTGATCATTGTATGATAT